GGTACCTGCCTGCCTGCCAGCCTGCCCCCATACCTGCCTGCCTGCCCCCTGCCCCAATACCTGCCTGCCTGCCTCCCTGCCCCCCTTGCCTGCCCGTCTGCCTGCCTACCTGTCTACCTGCCTCCCTGCCTGCTTACCTGCCTGCTGACCTTTTCTCTGCCCCTTGCCATGCCTCTATCCTCCTCCAGCTCGCTAATCATGGCTGGCCGGCAACAGTGGTAAGCAGATGTGCACATTCTTATGCGTCAACTACAAATCTTGCCCACCATTTATTTTTTTTCCTTTTATTTTCTTCTTTCTCCTCCTCCTTTCCCCTTTTCCTTTTTTTCTTTTTTAATCTTCTTATTTTCTCTTCATATAAACCACCACTACCTGGGCCTCGTTTTCACATTGTGGGGAACCCGACCGATTCGGAGGCTGAAACGAAATGACACAAGCTGATGAGAGTTATCAACAGTGGCCGCCATCGGGGTGAGCCCCCAAATTTTTAGGAGTAGGCTATTTTCACATTCCCCCAACAGCGAAAAAGGCAGTAGCACTATAAAAAGGGCAACGGCCCTAGGTAATTCAGAATGATTTATTCCATTTGCGAGGATTTTACCCCTCGGCATACCTGCATTAGGGCCCTGCAGCAAGCGTGTGCCCGCCGTAAGTGAAGGCAGGCCCCTGAATCTCAATGAGCCCTGAATTCGTCAATTTTTCCAAATCTTGTTGGGTCCAGACAGTTGCCACACGCCAGTTCGTTACATTCGCCTTGCTCGTGAGAATCCAAAATATTTGTGAGCCTTCCAGGCTCTTCCGGCAATGTGATCGAAGCAGGGAGCACCGCACTTCTGTGCCTGGGTGGTTTGGCGAGCCTAACCACTTCGGTCCCAGGCCAGTCTGAACTGACCTGGGCGCAGACACTTTGGCCGAGAGTGAAGCTCCTGGAAACTCGGTCCCACTAGGCAAGTGGCAGGCAGCGTGTGCCCACTGCTTTCCATTCGGGAAAGTGCCGGGCTACGCACTCGGCATTTGAGCAATCGGCTGTGCATGCGGTAGTGCTGCTGGAGCATTGGCTCACTCCGGGCCACCAGACCAAAATGGCTGGTGGCAGCAGCCAAACAAAACAGAAAAATCGCCGCACTGGTGTTTCGGTGAAGCTTGGCGCACAGGAGGAATTCGCCTCGGCAAAAGGAGGCTCAGATGTACTGGTGGCTTAACAATCACTCGAGTATAAATGATGACAACAGTAAACTGACATCTGGACATATCAGCATGCACCCTTGCCCTATCAGACTATGCGGACTTACGTTGAATAAGCCAACTATTGTGTGACTACTGTGACCCTTCCTCGAGACCTGTGTGCATGTATCTCACATCTCTATTTGTCCATAAGGCAATCAGAAAATATACATGGGATCAATACCGTAAACTGTTAAGTGAGTAGCAAATTCTTGAAAACGCTCACTTCTTAGACTGCGGATAGATTGGATAGAGACTCGAGCCTGCTTCCTCCATCTTTCCATGCACTCAGTTCATTTCAGGGCCTTCCATTATCGGTTTCGCCCCAACGGAGTGGGGAGATCCCTTTCCCCCATCCTACACCCTCCTCACCAGTTTGCGCCCCAGTTCTCTGCTTTTCGCGTCTTCTCCTCGATGTTCGGCTCTCGTGTCAGCGGCCAAGCGCGGACCTGGTTGTCAAACTGTGCTACAACTCGGAGGATTATCTTCCTCGACATGTTTACTCTCATCTTTTCGTCCACATGGACGGTCCATGAAGCATGTCGATTCCGTAGTGGATTTTCTCCACACATATGTTATTATTTTCTCAATGGCTCGAGTTGTCTTCCATCTGCATCTGATTTCAGCTTACAACTCAGATTCTTTCGCAAGAATTCACTATCCTTCCCGCTTGCTCTGTCTTCAGGCGGATCAGCGTCTAACAGTATTCCCCCCTCTCTCTCCAGCACTTCTTTTACTTCTTTTGTTTTTCTGCATGTGGCACGGCTGGCCGCGGATCAGATATTATCATATTAACCTGATAAGAACACATACTACACGATTGAATTAGCCAAAAGGCCAAGAAAGGTACTCAATGACGTCTGCAATAATTCTAATCGATTGGGTATTTTTTATTACTAAAAGCGGCGATCCCAATCCAGATCCGTATGAGTTCTCGCAATGCATATGTAATGCAGTATATGTAATGCGTAAATGGCGTGTGGATAAGTATGTAAATAGTGTGTGAATAGTGTGTAAATAGTGTGCGAATAGTGTGCGAATAGTGTGCGAATAGTGTGCGAGTAGTGTGCGAGTAGTGTGTGAATAGTGTGTGCGTGCAATCTGTGTGGACAAGATGTGGATGTAAGATGTGTTGTCGAATAAAGCCAACCAATATAAGCAGCATCTGTGTGGGCAGGCCACTGACAAAAGCGATGCAACAAATGCCACAATACGTGGAAATGAAATGACACGCAAGCAAGAAGAGTGACAGACAACTTGGGCGCAACTGCAAAGCTCAGAGAAGTTTAAAACTGGGCAGGGAGGGAGGGAGGGAGGGAGGGAGGGAGGGAGGAGGCAAAAGAGAGGAACGGGACAGGGAGGTCAGTACGTACCGCATACCTTTGCTGACATCCCAAACAATCGATGAGTTGTCCACTGACCCACTTATCAATCCACTCCCATCTGGCGACCACTCAAGATCCAGAACGTCCCTGCTGTGCCGTCTGTGCACACCAAAATACAAATCTGTGAGAGGAGTCCACATTTGAGAAGACACAAAGTGATTGGTTCAGTCACCAGCTGTCATCCCCAATGGCACAACAGCTCAACCTTCGATCCGAATTGTAGTCTAGTTACTAACTTACTATGGTATTGTTATAATGTTTTTGGCAATACAAAAATTCAACTGTAATTATGGAACTGTTGCATATAAAAATAATATACATGATTAGTAATAATTACATTACTAATCACGGCAGCAGTTGTCATCCACCCAACACTACCACTACGTGTTATAATCTTTTTTTTCTTTTTTCTTTTTTTTTTAACAAAGGCAACGGCCCGCTATGTGGTATTCCCAACGTTTTCGTTTTGGATTTTTTTGGTTTAATACATATTTTGTGGGCTTCCCATCTTCTTCAGTTGCTTTTTGGCGGGGTGGGGGTTTATCAGCAGACCTGTTGGGCCCTTTAACAACAGTTGCATGTCTGTGCCTTTCAGCAAATCAGCACCTCGGTGAGCTCCCAACCATTTCATTTGAATGTCAAACAACGATTCCGAACCTTCCATCTTCTGAGAGAACAAAGAAAAATTAGAAAATATATATATTTTTTATTTTTAAGAAGTCAACACTTACCTCAATGAGCCTGACAGCTTCCATGACAGGGGAACACCACCAGCCTCAGTTCGCACACACTTCCAGATAAGAAGCTCCCCTCCTGAATGCGAGGAGATCAATCCCAAACAGAAACATATCCGCGATCAGTTGCTTGGAAGGTGGCGAGAAGACGAAGCAAAGGAGACAAACTGTGCCAGTCAGAGCAAAAGGAACTACAGCGAATCCCCTCCCCTCAAAGAAAATGAAAATGGAAGCAAGCAGAAAACAAAAGGCCACAAGTAGATTAAAGCAGAATCATCACATCCACCACATGTGTACAAAGACGCTGTTGTTGCATACCGTATAGGTGCAGACCAGAACAAGAACCGACCTTTCAATACAAAGTATAAGATAGCACAGCGGAAGACTTAGATACCAATGATCCGAACAATCAATATTGCAATGCAGCCCCAAACATACATCATCATCATCATTCCATGGTGTGAAGGGGTCTGGCGCTTCACACAGGAAGACTGCGCCAGCCCCAACCATACACAGACGAAGGAGATGGGGGTTAGACGAAGAAGAGGGGAAGATGGGAATGTCGTCAACACCAAGGGTTCAGCACAGGCCCAAATAGTCCCTCGTCGAAATGTCTGAATCCCAAAGGTCGAGTCTGGATCCAATGTCGTCAAGTCTCAAGTCACAACTCTCTCTCTCTCTGTAGTAGTCTGCTGATACTGAGAAGTCAGGTGGTGAAAGGGGAAGAAGAGATGGTGGACATAGAGGAGGAAGAAGAAGAACTCTCTCTCTCTCTCT